AAAAAAAAAAAAGAAAAGAAGGAAGGAAGGAAAGGAAAGAAAGGAAAGGGAGAAAAGAAGGAAAGGAAGGAAGGAAGGAAATAAATTCCAGGCAACAAACTAGTCTTAGGACCCCACCCCCACCCTATCCTGCCCACCCAGCAGGAACAGATCAAGCCCAGACCTGACACCTGCCTGTGACTAGGATTTGTGCAGGCTCCCATGAAACCAAGCAGTGAGAATCAAGATTTGCTTGTTCTTATTCACAATTAGGTGAATTCATGGGCCAATAGTCCATACAAAGATATTAGTAAATATTTTAAAGATGAGTAACAAGACTCCTTGGAAAGTCTTCAGGGTGGGTGGTACACAGAGTTTGGATTGTTTTGTTGTTTTAAACCCTCAACAACCGACTGCACACCCTCTTTTTTTGGGGCGCATGCCTGCCCTTGGTATGCCACTATGTTTAATATATAAATAAGTATTATGATGAAGCTATTTTTTAAAAAGGCAGTAGAATGATGAATTATGAAATTCAACAGATTACCTTAGGACAGGTGAGGAAGAAGTGGGGGCTCTGGAAGATGCCTTGTGAAGAGAAAATTTGGAGGCGGGGTTATCTGGACATTGGGTCATTGAGCTCAGTTTCCTCCCCTACCCCAAGCTCTGTGTACTGGGGAACAACCCTGCAGACATCATTTCCAGCCAGTGCTGGAGACACAGTGGACAGCATCACTGCCCCTTTCTTCTCCACTGCCCAGAGTGGGAATGGCTCCCACAGGGGGTCATGAGGTATTCAACACCTGGAGGGCCTCACATCCTATCTGCCTTCTCTGAAGTTTCTTCATCAAACCCTTCAATTAAGCCCTTTGAGTGCTTCATCTGTGCCATGCCTCACCAAAACAATTATATTACTCTATATGCTTTATAATTTACATTGTAATATATAGGTAAGTTTTAGTATTTATCAATTAATCTTTGAAATTGCTTTAAAAAATACCTGGGCTTCTGATGGTGGCACCATTGTTGTCAGCTCTGCAAGAGAAGAGAGTGAGTTAAACTATGCTGTGGTGTCACCAGAACCCCAATGGACAGAGCTGTCCACTCACCTACCCCCTCAGCACATCCCCAAAGTCTCCATCGGAACACCAGAAGGCTTACAACCAGCCAAGCCACTTACTCATTCAGACAGACACCTACAAAACCCAGCGCCAGCCAGCTCTGGGCAAGATGCCACAGTAGAGGGCTGGTAGTCAGCTGGGAAGACAGATACTAGTGCCCACACTGTAGCCACTCTGTGGTGACCACTCAGAGAAAGAGCTAGTGCTGAATGGCAGCTACGAGGGCCCATGGAGTCTGCCCTGGGCACCAGGGAGACAGGACTGGAGATACGCTGCAAAGAGGCAGTGGCCAGGGAAGTCACATCTTCAAGGAAGAGCCTGTGCCCCAAGGTGAGGTGCTCCAATTGCCTAGAACTGAGGCTGTGTACCCCTAAATCACAGTAGAATCAGATAAGAAACCCCAACTCAGTGGAAGACTCTGCCTCCAAGCTCCTGGCAGTTGAATTGCATGAGTCAGCATCTAAGCCCAAACCCTTTGATTTGGGGTCTCACCCAGACTATTAGCGCCTCTCAGAAAATGGCCCCAAGTTGAACTATAGGTGGAAGCTGAACTCTTATTTTATTCAGTACACAGGGTGCTGGGTGACACCAGGCAGGGGGTCAGCCTTTCATACCTGCTTACTCACATGACCTGCACATGGTTAGAGGACAGATGAGGAAATGGAGACTCAGAAGGGGGAACTCACTTGCTCCAAGGAGTCACAGCTGGTTAAGTAGTGTGACAGGAGTCAGGCCAGGCCAGGGGACCTCAGAATCTGTGCTGCCAGCTACCTCCCAAACCCCTTACTGGGGCTGCCCAAGATTTCACACTGGGCAAGTTACAAGAAATCCATGCACTCCCATAGCCTTCCCTGACCTGAGCATCCAGGTACACAGCTGTGTTACGGTGTGAATGTCAGCTTCCTTCAAGTGTTTCTGGAATGAGGTGATATTGAAAAAAAAACCATGAATTTGTCTGCCAAGTGAACCTGCTAACTCCACAAATATTTTCAAAATGTCATCAAGAACCAGGAAGATTGCCAAAGATAAAGGGAGTCTGTACCAGGCTGATCCATTACAATAATGGAAAACCACCCCCTCCCCAGCATCAGTAGAGTAGAAAGTACGCAGGAGGCAGCACTTGGGGGATTTGTGTCCCTGGGGAAGGGGAGGTCCCTGCCCCAGGCTGGGCATACAATAATATTTTGTGGCTGTGACTGGATCCAGGCAATGGGAAGGTAGAAGAAATCAGACCCAGACAACAGGGCTTCTTGGAAGACACAGGTGCCCTGAGTCACCCTGGTATTCAGGAAGGGCTGTGGGGTGGCCTACGAACCCTGCAGGGTCCTTCACAGGTGCTGTCAAGGTCCTCATAAAGAATTCTTTCTAGGGGAGCACAGGCAAGGCAGTGAGAACTGAGGACATTTCATCAGCTTTTTTTTTTAATTTTTTTTTTTTTTTTGCGACAGAACTTCAAGCTGTCACCCTGGGTAGAGTGATATGGCATCACAGCTCATAGCAACCTCCAACTCCCAGGCTCAAGTGAGTCTTCTGCCTCTGCCTCCCAAGTAGCTGGGACCACAGGCACCTACCACAACGCCTGGCTATTTTTTTTTTGGTTGCAGCCGTCATTGTTGTTTAGTAGGCCTGGGCTGGATTCGAACTTGCCACCTTAGGTGTATGTAGCTGGTGCCTTAGCCACTTGAGCCATAGGCGCCAAGCCTTAATTTTTTTTTTTAAAGTTGTTTTCTCCTTTTTTCGAGACAGACTCTATGTCACCCTTGGTAGAGTGCTGTGGCATCACAGCTCACAGCAACCTAAAACTCTTGGGCTTAAGCAATTCTCTTGCCTCAGCCTCCCAAGTAACTGAGACTACAGGCGCCTGCCACAACACTCGGCTATATTTTGTTGCAATTGTTGTTTAGCTGGCATAGACCGGGTTTGAAACCGACAGACTCGCTATATGTGGCTGGAGTGGTAACCATTGTGTTACGGGCAGTAAGCCTTTTTTTTCTTTTTAGACAGAGTCTTACACTCTCACCTGGGCTAGAGCGCAGTGACAGCATTAACGCTCATAGCAACCTTAAACTCTTAGACTCAAGCAATCCTCCTTTTTCAACCTACCAAGTAACTGGAATTACAGGCACCACCCACCACCACATGCAACTAGTTTTTCTACTTTTATTTATTTATTTAAGACAGAGTGTCAAGTTGTCACCCTGCATAGAGTGCTTTAGCATAACAGCGCATAGCAACCTCCAATTCCTGGGCTCAAGCGATTCTCCTGCCTCCGAATCCCAAGCAGCTGGGACCATAGGCGCCTGCCACAACACCCAGCTTTTTTTTTTTTTTTTGGTTGCAGCTCTCATTGTTGTTTGGCGGGCCCAGGTTGGATTCAAACCCACCAGCTCAGGTGAATGTGGCTGGCGCCTTAGCCACTTGAGCCACAGGCACCGAGCCTATTTATTTATTTTTATTTTGTTTTTCTTTGAGATAGAATCTCATTTTGTCGTCCCCAGTAGAGTACCATGGTGTCATAACTCACAGCAACCTCCAACTCTTGGGCTCAAGCAATTATCTTGCCTCAGCCTCCCAAGTAGCTGAGACTACAGGCGCCTGTCACAATGCCCTGCTATTTTTAGAGACAGGGTCTTGCTCTGGCTCAGGCTGGTCTCGAACCTTTGAACTCAGGCAATCCACCAGCCTCAACCTCCCAGAGTCCTGGATTACAGGCGTGAGCCACTAAGCGTGGCCTAGTTTTTCTATTTTTAGTAGCAATGGGGGTCTCCCTCTTTAGGCTGGTCTTGAACTCCTGAGCTTGAGGGATCCTCCTGCCTTGGCCTCCCAGAGTGCTGGGATTATAGGCGCAAACCACTGCGCCCAGCCCCATCAGGTTTATTAATGCCACACAGAGCCAGGAGGTGGAACTGGGGTGCCCAGTTCCCATCAGCATCATCCCCTGTCTCTGCTAAGGGCTAAGATGTGCTTGATGCTTCCTTCTCCCTGCAGGGAAGTTGGCCTCACCAAGAGAAAAGGAAAGCCTCTCTATTTTCTTTTGTATAAAATAACAAACAAGGAGTTATGAAGAAGCTCAGAGGTTTCTTGAAATAATACTGTGTCCCAGTAGTAAAAGATGGTGGATCTTATTTGGAGGAGAGACATTTCTGGGGCTTTTGCAGCCCGGAGAGCAAGTGTGTCCATCAGCAGGTCCCTTGCAGATGCAGTGTCCATCTGCCTGGGGCACAGTCCAGCCTGGAAAGCTGGTCAGCAGGTCAAATAAGGTCATATTCTGACTGGCTTGTGATCATCTGGTTCTGAATGTCTCACCCCTGTCCTCACTTTCTTACCTGCAGGATAGAGATGACCTGCCCAATCAAATCATGGTGTTTCCCCAAAGAACAAGTGAGGTGTGGCTCGGCGCCTATAGCTCAACCGGCTAGGGCGCCAGCCACGTACACCTAGGGTGGCGGGTTCGAATCCCCAGCCCGGACCCGCCAAACAACA